GCTGTTTCCATTAGTGCTGGGGGAGAGAAAAAGAAGAAACACTACTAAATCATTTCTAAGTAAATCTAGATAACCTGCTAGAAGCTTTTTTTACACAATATTTGATCTTGATATTAATATATTTGTAATGAAAATGTTTAAAGGGTGATTTTTTTTTTAATTTAGAAGAATCATATTGTCAACCAAATACCAGTTGTAGCCATTATAGTTTTTAAATATTTCATGCAAGATGTAAAAACAAAGTGAAAATGTAGTTAAAAGGAATAGTTCACCCAAAAATGAAAATTCTGGTATTAATTACTCACCCTCATTGCGTTCCAAACCCGTAAGATCTTCGTTCATCTTCGGAACACAAATTAAGATTATTTGGCGGAAGATGGTATCTCGGGGGAGAAGAATTGTTGAATAAATTATGTTCTTTTTATTTTCTTTTCACACAAAAAGCATTCTTGAAGCTTCGCAAAATTGAAGTTAAGCCACTGATGTCTCATGGACTGCTTTACCGATATCCTTACTACGTTTCTGGACCTGGGGACATTACAGTTGCGTTGTTGTCTATGGGAGGGTCAGAGAGCTCTCAGAATTCATCAAAAATATCTTAATTTGTGTTCTGAAGATGATCGAAGGTCTTACGGGTTTGAAACAACATGTAATTAATGACAAAAAATTTCATTTTGGGGTGAACTAACCATTTAAATATAAGCAAGGCATGTTTTCTACAGTGTTTTTCACTAAACTTGTTTTTACAAAAAAAATTAATGCTTGAAAGCTTATGCAAACAAATAGCTTGATCAGAGTTAATTCACTGAAATTGATTCACAGCTGTCAACTCTAAATCATGAATGCAATGAAAACATCTGTATTAACACTCTCATACTCATTAATAATCAAGTAAGGATAGAAATAACGGCCGAATCATATTTCTAGCACTGATTAATGTTAACTGATCAATAAAGAACATGAAGAAACTGTCAACTATCATCTATATTTGGATACGCTGATGATTTATGGAGTACAGCGTGATACATTAATGATTGGTTACTCAGAAACACTGCCTCAAGCTGACAACCACACCTTTTATAAATATTTTGATAGATATTAATGGCATCATGGGTTGTTCAAAACAAAAATTGCTCATACATTCTAACTTTTAGTGTCTTGGGAGATATTAAAATTGTTGATAGAAAATGCTTCCATTGAGACGCTGGCTATGCTGTGCCTCTTTCCATAGACCAACCTGTCTGATGGAGAGAAGGACAAATGCTCTTCATAAACCTCGCCTTCTAAACCCAGACTGCTCCAGCTACTGCTGTTTCCATTAGTGCTGGGGGAGAGAAAAAGAAGAAACACTACAAAGTCATTTCTAAGTAAATCTAGATAACCTGCTAGAAGCTTTTTTTACACAATATTTGATCTTGATATTAATATATTTGTAATGAAAATGTTTAAAGGGTGATTTTTTTTTTAATTTAGAAGAATCATATTGTCAACCAAATACCAGTTGTAGCCATTATAGTTTTTAAATATTTCATGCAAGATGTAAAAACAAAGTGAAAATGTAGTTAAAAGGAATAGTTCACCCAAAAATGAAAATTCTGGTATTAATTACTCACCCTCATTGCGTTCCAAACCCGTAAGATCTTCGTTCATCTTCGGAACACAAATTAAGATTATTTGGCGGAAGATGGTATCTCGGGGGAGAAGAATTGTTGAATAAATTATGTTCTTTTTGTTTTCTTTTCACACAAAAAGCATTCTTGAAGCTTCGCAAAATTGAAGTTAAGCCACTGATGTCTCATGGACTGCTTTACCGATATCCTTACTACGTTTCTGGACCTGGGGACATTACAGTTGCGTTGTTGTCTATGGGAGGGTCAGAGAGCTCTCAGAATTCATCAAAAATATCTTAATTTGTGTTCTGAAGATGATCGAAGGTCTTACGGGTTTGAAACAACATGTAATTAATGACAAAAAATTTCATTTTGGGGTGAACTAACCATTTAAATATAAGCAAGGCATGTTTTCTACAGTGTTTTTCACTAAACTTGTTTTTACAAAAAAAATTAATGCTTGAAAGCTTATGCAAACAAATAGCTTGATCAGAGTTAATTCACTGAAATTGATTCACAGCTGTCAACTCTAAATCATGAATGCAATGAAAACATCTGTATTAACACTCTCATACTCATTAATAATCAAGTAAGGATAGAAATAACGGCCGAATCATATTTCTAGCACTGATTAATGTTAACTGATCAATAAAGAACATGAAGAAACTGTCAACTATCATCTATATTTGGATACGCTGATGATTTATGGAGTACAGCGTGATACATTAATGATTGGTTACTCAGAAACACTGCCTCAAGCTGACAACCACACCTTTTATAAATATTTTGATAGATATTAATGGCATCATGGGTTGTTCAAAACAAAAATTGCTCATACATTCTAACTTTTAGTGTCTTGGGAGATATTAAAATTGTTGATAGAAAATGCTTCCATTGAGACACTACAGCCAAAAACACTACAAAACAATGTCTGCCTTTGAAAGACAGGACTGTGTGACTCAGCCATCATGTTTTGAAGCCAAAGACAGTTACATGTTTCTGAGAATGAAAACAAAATCCCTAAATGCTCATCTGGACAAGGCCCTAGGTGTTCCTCAGCAATTTTAGAAAATGGTGAGAAAATCAGCATCTTTGGCTTCAAAGAAAGTGTAAAATGGTTTGTATATAAAAGAAAGAAAAAGAACAATAAACGTTCTTTAGCTATAATGAGTCATACAGTATGTTCTCCTACTCCAAAACCTAAACTGATAAAACTCAGACTAAACATGTGAATGCAGTCAAAATACCTCCGCTGAAAACCAAACACGCCTGCAAATGGTATGAAAAATGCACTAAAGGGCTACTATACAACTTACAGATCTGACATTGACAATATACTTCACAATTTCAGCCTGAGCTCTTCTATTGCACAAATCTGTCCTTTCCCTATTGCACTGGTAAGGTCATTGTAAATCCATTCATTCCTCTGCTAATTCACCAAATTGTACTTTTCAGCCACATGCTTGTGAAAGGTGCACAAGAAAATAAAGCAGAGTGAACTTGAGTGTGGTAGTCGACCAGCAATGCTTCATTTCAAGTTTAAATGAGCTGTGTATTGCTTGTAAGTGTGGTGGGACTTGTTCACCTGTCACTAAGATGGTGAAAGCTGCTGCTCTCATCTGGGTGGTCTTCTTCAAAACTCAGATTGGACCAACTACCGAGACTATCATCACCAACACTCAAACTGAGCTGCTGACTCACCGTTGACTCCGTCACATTGACGCCTTCTCTTCTGGAGGTACTGAAACGGACAAAGTCATCAACCACGATAAGCCAACATAAAAAAAAAAAAGTTTCAAAATCTAGGAAATCCACATATCATGAGTAACTGATGAGCAATTTTAAGTGATAGTCTGTATGTATGAATCTGTGAAAGCTGTGTCACTGTACCCAAGATTGACGGTTTGGCAGACGTTGGACAATGCAGATGTCATAATCTCTGTGGTGAAACTTTCTGCAAAGCTTGCGCCATCATGACCAATCCCACTGTCTGCATTCAGACTGGTGCAGCTCAGTTCCTTTTTGGCTTTCTCAATGGCACTGGACACCATTTCTTCAGCAAAAGCAGCTCTCTTTTCCAAATCAATGTGTATTCTAGGAATTTCCAGTCCAGTCACTGCATCTGATTCTTGTTGCGGTCTTATTTTCACTCCCTGGAAACCACGATGGCCGTCTCTACCGCAAAACAGGCAGTCTCGACCTTGGCAGTATCGACAAGCTTCATATGCCTCAGCCAGCTTTTCTGTGAAGGAATTGCGTTCAAGTGCCCTCCTGTCCCCCGCTGCCTGAACACATGCCGGTCCCAGCGTCATTTCCAAAGTGTCATCGACTATTTTCCTGGCATAATGTTCAATGACTTGTATTACACCATTGTTGCTTTTGCCGTCATTCAAGCTGGTGGTACTATGGTAGAGCCTGTTAGTTTCTGTATAAGGTAGAAGAGAGCATGAAAACGAATTTTTTATGAGATTTTCTGGCATGTCCTCGACAGTGGATTTCCTGTAGAGGCAAGAATCGGTGAGTGATTTTGGCAATCTAACAGAGCTCATTCTCAGCTTTCTCGTAACATCACATGTGATGTTGTAGGCCAGGGACTCGGCAAAGTTCACAAGTTCTACATACTCATTACTGCTCATGTTTTGACCGTCTTGACAAGCACATGGCAGGGATTCACAAGACGATTCATCTTTTCCATCAACAAGTGCAGCGTGGGATGACTTGGATGTGGGAAACTGGGAAACATCTGGACTACGATCATTGGGCAAACGCCTAGAGGAATGAAGTCTCAAAGGAGATCTCTGCTTTATTTTTCGTGCCGCATGAGCCAGGCCAGATTTAATAGATTGATACGCCAAGCGAGTGGCGTACTGATCTAATATAAGCTCTCGGTTTCCTCCCTCTTTCTTGAGCACCTTAATGAGGTATCCCGCATATTCATCAGTGACACTCTCGCAACTTGGATACTCTGACGACATCCCACTTGAACTGCCACTCACTTGGACATCACCAGGCCACTGACAAGTCAAACTTCCCAAAAGGCCATCTCCGCTCTGACGTTTGTCTGCAGAGTTTACAGATCTTCTTTTTAGCATTTTATGACGACAGTGGCTTGAACTCATCATCTTCTTGACATCATTGATGACTTCTCCAGCCACTTCTCCAGCATATGTCCACAAAGAATTTAAGGTCTGCTCTGAGAACTGTGCACTATGCAAGGCGACACTGCCTTTGCATTCATCACCCACCAGCTTCTTCACATCTCCGAGGCTTAGCGTGTCCATCTCAGTGGCCATTGAAACAATGTGGCATGCCAAACGCTCTGCAAAATGGAGCGCACTCCTCTCGATCACTCTGCTCCTGATGTTGGGACTCAGCTCTGCCTGGCAGTTTCTAGAGTGAGGACCATCTTCCTGGTCTTCCTCCTCATCTTCATTGCTGCCAGCTTCTTCAGAGAGAGACCTAATGAGTTTCAGCATGAAATCGGCCTTGTCTGAAACCGAACCTTCTTCTTTGGTGTCGGTGGCAGGCGAGTAATAAGGGGTGGGTGGAGGAGTTGCAGGAGAAAATTCTTTTGCGAGCGTACCTTTGAGCTTCTTCGAGAACAGTCTGATCTGTTTCTCGCTGTACTCATCCGATGGCTGCTGAGGACTTGAGGGTGGAGTGCTAGGGATTTCAGTCGATTTTGTTCCAGAGTTGCTGCTTGAAAAATCATCTGCACCGACTTTTCTACCTCCACATGAGGCAACTTCAAAAGTGGGCACTTCCAATGTGTCCATTCTCACGACAGAACGAACCTCTGGGGTGAGCTTGGAGACTGGATGTACACTTCTGGAGGATGGGTCACAAGAGCTTTTTGACACCAAGTGAAAGGGAATCTGAGAGGGAGTCGACGCATCGTGTGATTTAACAATTCCATGGCTTGGAGTGGATATGCGAGCTGCTATGGTTTTGCTCAAAAAGTCTGCACAATCCTCCACTTTCTTCTTCACTTTTGTCGAAGAATGCATCAGATCGAATGCCTCCCCTACTATAGTGTCCACCATATTCCCGGAGAAGTTTTGAAACGTCTTTCCAATCGAGGGTTTGGAGGAATCATTTTCAACAGATGGCTTGCCAAGATCTTCCTCACCACTGGCATCCTGGATTCTTGCAGGACCTGGTGATGACTCAGTTGCTTCAGATGTATCTGAGGTTGAGGATCCCACTTCCACTTGGCAACAAATGGTTCTTTTAGGACTGGTCTGACATACGTGACCAATACTAGATTTATACTGAGAAGGTTCATCTGAGTTGTGCACATGGGATATGACCATGCCAGCCACAGGAACTGGAACACAACTGGCCATACCGGACACACAATACAAGGCTTTCTTCACTGTGCAACCATCCTGCTCTTGATTTGTAGCCTCTGCGACGGCCTGAGATCCAAGATGGCTTGTTTGTGCACTGCAGGTTTTTGTGACGAGAGAACTATCTTCAGCACTCACATAGCAAATGTTGTCCACTGATACACTGATAGCTGCCTGTGTAGTGAAAGTCACATCAGCTTGTGAGAGCTCTATAAAAGCCTCTTGGAGAACAGACTCCGACAGGTCAGAGGCATAGGATGAAACCACTTCCCCCTCTTGCTCAAACGACCAGTCACTTGGTGTGAGTGGAGTTGTGGGATGTGAAAACTGGCAAACCTCCATAATACCTTCAAACACTAACTCCTCAGCGAGATCTGCAGCAAATCGTGTGACGGTGTTGTTGAAAATCTGTTTTTTCACAAAGAGGAACTCTTTGAGAGCTCCAGAAATGGCTTCTCCTACTAGGAAATTGGCTAGACCGTTTACGGCATGCTCTTTTAACACATATGCATGGCGCATACCTATCTCATGAAAGGCCATTTGAAATACTGAAGAAGTCAGTCTTGCAGTCAAATGGCAAAGTGTAGTGGTACAGGAGGACACACCTTTCTGCAAGTCCTTTAAGGCACTTCCAAGGCTCATTTCAACCAAGTCTGTAGCAAACTTCTGAATCCCATCCTTAAGAGACTGTGATTGGGATTTGGTGATGGTGACGGTCTCCTGGATGTCTGAAAGCTTCATTAGATGCCCATTAGTGTTTTTGAACTCCTTATGACACACACAGCTCAAGTTCTTATTAATGTTAAAATCAACAGGGGAGGAGTACCCACAGACCGATCCAAGGATTTCTTTTGACAGGTTGTTGGCAAAATCGGAGTACGTTTTGTACAGCGAGCAAAGGTCCTGTGGTTTACGCAATTCTGAGCCATCTCCATCTGCCTTCAAAAAATACTCTAAGGAGCCTCCTTCTCCCAGTGGGCTAAATGCAGATGAACGAACTGGACTGAAGAGCGGCCCACTTTCCTCGCAGGGAGTCCTCGCAGGCCGTGGGGAATCTTTTGAATCAGAGTGAATACTGTATGGTGATCCAGGTTTAAGTGGAGTTGGTTTCTTGACATTGGCTGGAAGAGTCCTATGATCAAACTTGTGAGGGTTCATTGCTGTGGTCGAGCACCCCCTCGATACAAATTTACAACCAGAGTTGTCAACAAGCTTCTCTGTTTGACCAGGGAGGGGCTGTTCTTTAAGGACCTTGATGTTGGAATCAAAAGACTGGTCTAGTTCATCAAACTGATCAAAGCTGTCGAAAAATTCACTGACTTCTGAGTCAGAATCTTCTACTCCATCCTTTAAAATGGGGATCTTGGGAATGTCAAGTTTTGCTTTAAGACTCTTCTGATATCCAACTTCATCCAGGAATATAATAGGGCTGGGACTTGAGCAGTCTGACTCATCTGACTCTGTGAGGGCTGTGGAAGTAGCGCGTCCCTTTGGAAGACTACTAAGTGCATACGAGCTATCTGAACATGCGGGCCACGTTGTTGACTTCAGGACAGTTTCTGACACTTTTGCAGCAGCCTTTTCCTTGCGCACGGACTTCCTCGGTATGGAACTTATAATAATGCGAGATCCAGATAAGTCTCTTAAATGAGAGGGGACAGTCTGGGACGCCACATCCCTTTGGTTCCTCTGACTATGGCCACCTGCAAGATCAGAGAACAGTTAGTAAGAACAGAATTCTCATTAACAGTTAATTAAATCCAGAACTAGCAGCTGTTCATAACATGTTCATTTATTTTATTGCTATCTATGTTTACGCAATGGTAGTGTAAATAAAAAAAGGTTTATTCAAACCCATATTTAAACAGGAATTTATCCTAAGACTGTCAAGTAAGAATCATGAGTAATCACCTGTATCCTCTTCTTCAAGATGCTCAAAAGCAGTAACAAAGTCCTCTTCGATAGAAGAGACAGACTGATTGGTGTCATCATCCTCAGCTTGGCATGCTTCTGAAGCTCCCCTCTGCAGAACCTGTAACTCCAGTGCATACCTTATCCCAGCTGCATATCGAGCCAACAATCCCAGCATGCTGCAAACACTAATCTGAGGAGTGGGGCTATGTCTCAGTATGCACAAAGCTCTTGAACAGGCCTGAGGGAGAAAAAAATTAAGACTGCATTAAAAAATAAATAAATAAATAAATCGATCAAATGCTAGGATGACACGATAAAAGCCTTTATGTCATGACACATTCGCAATATAAATTATGATAAACTTAATGTTAATCTGGAAGATAAACATAATTCTGCATAATTATAATCATAAAATCTGAAAACTGTCAAACCCTGATCTGACATAATTTCTTGAGAAATTTTGACTTTTAGACTTCTCACGGCACTCTTATTTTTCCTGACATGCATGGAAGAAATTATGCAATCTCTTGTTATGTCTGAAAAACACTTGTGGTTTTATGTAATGTTCAAAGTACAAAACTTAATACCATGGCTGCCTACCACAAGGTTAGTTCTGTTTAGACCCAATTTCACACAAAATGATACCACAAATTTAGAAACCCAGACGAAACAATGAAGGACACCTGATATCAAAATAACGACAACAGCAAACACGTCTCACACAAAACATAAACATACTCTAAATTTTCAAGCATAATATAAGCAAATCATACCTGAGAAACACTGTCTTTTCTCTCAAAGGGCCTTTTGGGGTCTTTGAGGAGCAGAATCTCTTCATCTTTAAGGGTGTATACATGTAGTGATCTAAGCAACTCCATCATCTCAGTGGAGAGGGACGTCAGAGCCTGTGGGCATCAAAGAATACATGACTGTAGGATCCAACAAATCTATCTCTCTCTCTTTGTAGTTTATAGAATAAAACAAAAATGCTCGTTTTTACTTTTCATAGTTAATTTTTACATACTTTGATACAATGTTTAAAGAGAAATGGCGCAAACTATCACATACCTGTAGAGTAAAATCTTCCCCCTCAGCATGACTAGGTAAGCATACATAATGTACCTATAAAAGAGAACAATTATGTCATTTATATTGTGATGCCATAGTTAAATGAAATGTCTTTGTGGGCGAATACACTATACACTAAACAGATCTGCATGGCAAACCTGCTTCTTATTTACTGATTACCCAACTTTACACATCAGTCCACCTTAAAAATGACTAAATGATGACCAAGTGATGGAGATGCGTGCCTATGCATGCCTAGCAGTCAATTGCACTTTCCCTGCTCAGGTGTTTAGATTGCAGTGATGGAGACAAGTTGCGCAATCCCAGGAAATACAGTACAGTACCTATAAGTTGTGTTTGCATTATCTGATTTCCTTTAGTTAACAATGCAGACAGTGTGTGCAAATAAATTGCAATAGCCGCAGGCTTTTTTAAGAAATTCAAACAATAAATAGCGTTTTGTGGCTCTTTAATGTGTCTTGAGGGATCACTGTAGCTCCACACGTGAACTGATCGTCTTTTCATATTTACTTAAAGGACGAGATAAACATAAATGAACATCATAACATATTTTATTTCAACCGTGGAAAGATGTCAAAGTCCACCGACGTTAATGTACTCTCTTGTCTGATTTGTTTGTCAGGCAAGATGGCAGATTCGGCATTATGATTGGTCAGATCGCCTGTCATTCAAGCTCTTTGCGGACAGTCAATTGTCTCGTCTTTGACCCTAACACACATATTACTTATGTCTTGTGGCTACACTATTGAAATGTTCATGGATCAGCTCCATTCACTTCCACTGTGCCTCACTGTAGCCCAAACTTTTGCTTTTTAAAAAAAACTGAGGAGCAAGTGAAAAGAGGGACAAGATTGAGCTTAACTATTTTGAACCCATAATATTCCTTTAACCACTGCAAAAATTATTTCTTTGCAGTTGCAGTCATGCATATACATAATATTCAATCCTTACTTCTGATAGAGACTGTGGTTCTTTATTATGCAGCTCCACTACCACATTGCAGAGCTCCTTCTTGTGTTTCAACAGGCTCTTCAGGCCCGGGTTTGAGCCCTCACGGATGGTCTGCTCAAACAAAAATAAAACGTATTGGAAATTGAATGAGCTTAGAAATGAATGCAATAGAACTGAATCATGGTAGTCAGCACTGTACCTCTTTCTTCATGGTGGGACGGCTCTGTAACGGGACCCCTCTGATCCGTGCACAGGCGTCCATGTTGCTGCGGTGCTGGACAGGAGGTTCTCCTCTCCTTGAAGTGAAACAGTTGGGTTGAAATAAACACATTGTAAACATTTTCAATCTAGCTACCAAAAATTTAATCCAGCCTACGCTTACGTTATGCTTACATGCACAGACAATTTTCTGCTTATACCAGATTCATTGGCCAATTAACACCTCTATTCTATTGAGCTTGAGCAGAATTAAATTTTGATTAGATTGGAAAGGGTGGTGTGACCTGAAATAATCTGATCATCAACGGGAAAAAATTAAGCACGTAAACATTAGAATTCGACTGTATTCTCAATCGGTCTTAAAAAACAGCTTTCGCACATGCACAGTGTTTATTTACGTCTCAAGTCTTATGTAAGTAAGTGAATGCGACTGAATATACATTGAGATGGCGCCGCAAATGGCAGCCACGATGCTGAGCTCCGCAATTCTGCTGTTTTTGTTTGTTTGTTCTGTTTTTCGTCATTCTTCTATAAGTTTTACCAGAGACGAACTCCTTAACATTAAGCAACTCATCCCAGACAATATTTTTCCGGTTTTTGATTATTCGTACGTTTTGTTGGACATTCTAGTCAAAGGTACAGCTGTGTTGTTCAAACGTGCGTACACACGCAGAAGAGGGAAACGTGCCGGTGCCCTGGTTAAGCTCCGCGCGTGGCTCTCAACCTGCACTCCCAAGCATTCATTTTGCAAATGTCCGTTCCCTTCCTAACAAAATGGATGAACTTCTCCTCGCTCGCACCAACAAGGATTTTTCAAACTCTGCTGCACTATGCTTCACTGAAACCTGGCTGAGTGAAGCCATTTCAGATAACGCACTTCCATCTGTTCAGAGCGGATCGCATCGCGGAGTTAACGGGTAAAACGAGAGGTGTTGAATTGTGTTTCTACATCAACGAAAGTTGGTGTTCAGATGTAACAACGCTGAAAAAAGTATGCTGCCCTAACTTAGATGCACTCTTCATAAACAAAAAAACCTTTCTACTTGCCGCGGGAGTTTTCCTCTTTCATTCTCGTGAATGTGTACATTCCTCCGGACGTGTGCGTGAGCGCCACGATGCAACAGCTGGCCGAACAAATAACTGAAATGCAGCAAAGGTCCCCAGACTGTATTTTAATCATTCATGGAGGTATTAAAAAAAATCTAATCTCTCCCGTGAACTGCCAAAATACAAGCAGCATATTACATGTCCCACCAGAGACAGTAATATACTGGATCACTGTTACACCACAATAAAGGATGCATATCACTCTGTCCCACGAGCAGCTTAAGGGCTCTCTGATCACTGTTTGGTTCATCTTATACCGACCTACAGGCAAAAACTGAAATCAGCTAAATCTGTTTTAAGGACTGTTAAAAGATGGACTAATGAAGCAGATTGGGATTTACAAGCCTGTTTCAACCTCACTGATTGGAGTGTTTTTAAAGCTGCTGCCACTGATCTGGACGAGCTCACAGAGACTGTAACTTCATATATCAGTTTCTGTGAGGATATGTGCATCCCCACCAGGACATTCTAATGATAAACAGTGGTTTACTGGGAAACTCAAACAGCTTTGTCACGCCAAAGAGGATGCTTACAGAAGTGGGGATAAAATCTTGTATAACCAGGCCAGGAACAGACTAACAAAAGAGATCAGAGTGGCTAAAAAAAAACTACTCTGAAAAGCTGAGAAAACAGTTTTCAGCCAACGATCAGGCGTCAGTATGAACTGGTCTCAAGAACATCACCTTGTACAAGACACCACCCCACAGTCTGTGGAGAATCAACAACTGGCTGACGATTTGAATGTGTTTTACTGTCGATTTGAAAAGGCCAGTCTACCACCCCCCATCTGCTCTGGCTTAGCAGATTTGAGTTTCTGCCTGTAGGCTGGTAGAAGATGAACCAAACAGTGATCAGAGAGTCCCAGTGCTGCTCGGGGGACAGAGTGGAATGCATCCTTTAAAACAGTGTAGCAGTGGTCCAGTATATTGCTGTCTTTGCTGGGGCAAGTGATGTGCTGTCTATATTTAGGCAGTTCACGGGTGATATTAGCTTTGTTAAAATCTCAGAGAATGATAACGAAAGAGTCCGGATAACGCTGCTTTGTGTGTGTAATTTGATCGGCCAACAGTTCTAGCGCCGCGCTCACACGCGCGTCAGGAGGAATGTATGTACTCACCAGAATAAACAAGGAAAACTCCCGCGGCAAATAAAAAGGCTTATAGTTAATAAAGAGAGCTTCCAAGTTTGGGCAGCACATCTTCTTTAAAACTGTCATGTCTGTACACCAGCCTTCATTGATATAAAAACATAATCCACCACCTCTCGTTTTCCCCGACGACTCGGTGATGCGGTCCGCTCTGAACAGCTGGAAGCCCGTTAGATGAAGCGCGCTGTCCGGGATGGCTCTGTTCAGCCAGGTTTCCGTGAAGCAGAGTGCAGCGAAGTTTAAAAAGTCCTTGTTTGTGCGGGTGAGGAGTTGTAGTTCATCTGATTTGCAAGGGAGCGGAGATTAGCCAGATGAATACTCGGCAGCGGAGTCCTAAAACCGTGCTGACAGTGTTTCACGAGCGCGTCGGCGCGCTTTCCTCCCTTGCGTCGCCTGGAGCGCTTGTATAGGAATGCAGCTTCTCCGACTAAAATGTCCAGTAAAATGTCTGAATGTTCAAACGTCTGCAAAAAGTTATCTGGTCTGCTTTTCCTTATGTCCAAGAGTTCGTTTCTAGTGAAGCTGATCAGAAAAAAGCCTCTTTCACTCTTTCATTCTCGTGAATGTGTACATTCCTCCGGACGTGTGCGTGAGCGCCACGATGCAACAGCTGGCCAACTGAAATGCCACGATGCAACAGCTGGCCGAACAAATAACTGAAATGCAGCAAAGGTCCCCAGACTGTATTTTAATCATTCATGGAGGTATTAAAAAAAATCTAATCTCTCCCGTGAACTGCCAAAATACAAGCAGCATATTACATGTCCCACCAGAGACAGTAATATACTGGATCACTGTTACACCACAATAAAGGATGCATATCACTCTGTCCCACGAGCAGCTTAAGGGCTCTCTGATCACTGTTTGGTTCATCTTATACCGACCTACAGGCAAAAACTGAAATCAGCTAAATCTGTTTTAAGGACTGTTAAAAGATGGACTAATGAAGCAGATTGGGATTTACAAGCCTGTTTCAACCTCACTGATTGGAGTGTTTTTAAAGCTGCTGCCACTGATCTGGACGAGCTCACAGAGACTGTAACTTCATATATCAGTTTCTGTGAGGATATGTGCATCCCCACCAGGACATTCTTATCACTCAATAAAGATAAACCGTGGTTTACTGGGAAACTCAAACAGCTTTGTCACGCCAAAGAGGATGCTTACAGAAGTGGGGATAAAATCTTGTATAACCAGGCCAGGAACAGACTAACAAAAGAGATCAGAGTGGCTAAAAAAAAACTACTCTGAAAAGCTGAGAAAACAGTTTTCAGCCAACGATCAGGCGTCAGTATGAACTGGTCTCAAGAACATCACCTTGTACAAGACACCACCCCACAGTCTGTGGAGAATCAACAACTGGCTGACGATTTGAATGTGTTTTACTGTCGATTTGAAAAGGCCAGTCTACCACCCCCCATCTGCTCTAAAGATGGGCGTACACGGTGCGATTCTGAAGGTCGGACATCGTGAGCTCTGGCACATGTCACGATTGAGTTTATCAGAAAATCGTACGGAGGCAGTCACACACGACACAAATTTACTACGATTTTACAAACTCTGACGTAAGCATTACGTTTCGCGCCATTCATAAAAATATGGATTCTGAGGACGAAATAGTTTTCTTCGTGGCAGGCGGCTTGTGACATAAAAAAAAAAAAACGAAGACATGGCAAAGAGAATGGCTGAAAAGCAGAGAAAAGCATGGACTTTCTGTTCTTCATAAAGAACTGGAGGGAGTAGGCCATTTCTGAATTTCTGCTCGTTTTGCCGGAAATAAAACAGGCATATTCATTCATAAAGCTGAACGGCAAATTTGGCACATTCGGAACAACAAATAAAAAATAGAACTGTATAATTAAACTAAAATTATTATAGACTATATGGTTTTTGTCATCTTCAGACGGATCACCAAATCGTCTCATTCAACCGCACATTCAACGTCAGCATCCGATTTTTTTTGACATGTTGGAAAATTATTTTCATACAGTACGAGCCGCAACCATGCGAGCATCTGCGATTTTCTTAAAAAAATCGCCTGCGAGCTCGTACGACAGCAAAAATCGCACCGTGTACGCCCGCCATAATCTGCCCTTCACACATTCACCTACCCCCCTGCAACCCCCTCTCTCCCTCCCCCACCATTCAACCTGCGCTTAAGGTCTGTGTAGAGCAGGGGGTTTTCAAATTTTAGGACATGCGCCCCCCCAAGTTTGTCTAATTTCACTCGCGCCCCCAACATCCAACACCCCCGCTCTTTTTGATTAACATTATTTACATAAGAAATGCATGGATCCGTTATACCGATGTACATTTGATATTTTCTTCACTGTTTACATTCACTTAAAACAACAGACTGTGCTTACAAGGATACTTGTCAAGACAGCCATTGGTATTCACCTGGTGTCTGAGAATGCTATCTGTTTGTGCACTTCAGGTGTGTGAGTGGTGCGCATAGAAACGCTCTATCACAGTGCGTGAGTACCGCATTGAGATGTCTTGGGCTTAAATGGCTTAAAATTACTTTAATGTTTAAACTGACAAGACTTAAAATGGGTGAGAATGAAAAACTTTCTTGAGGAAGCAACACTGGCCTGATCATTAAGATAGTTTTGGGGGGCTAAGGTGACAGATAGGGGGGCTGAAACCCACCTAAAAAGGGTTTAGAACCGCCTCTGGTATAGCATGCGTAATTATACTGAAACATAAATATATAACCAGTTTACCTGATTCAATGTGATGGCTGAGCCTGTTTCTGAGATAACAACATTTCCGACACGGCTAATCGTAAATCATCTTACACTGTCAATAAGCGTGACCAGG